AAGGATCCAAGTACCCGGTGGATTTCGTACGTTACTGATTGTTTGTGTATGGACCAAAGAGCACACTTACGACGTCAGGCGTTCTCCACGGATTCGTTGAGGTTTCTGTTTATAGCTGTTGAAAGTATGCAGTGCCATGGGCGGTTGCATTGCGACTGCATGCGCCGTCGCAGGAGCGGAAGCCAGAACATGAATCACGATTTGGGCAACAATCCAGTATAACCGATACAGCCAAAACGTTTGGACCACCTCGACCACGTCATCGTTGCGCGGAATTGGCGCAGTTGTGTTCCGTGTATCAGGAACGACCGAGGGAGGGCGTTGGAACCGCATTATTTCGCACGCATTGTGGATCTTGTTCCTCGACATACATTGAGCAGAACACTGACACACGACATTGAAAGTTATTTTCACGGGGCCCCCGAAGACAAGTGCATCGCAGACAGGTCATTCAAATTTGTTGTTCGTCGTTGATGGATTTTACATATCTTTCCGGGCCTTGACCCCCAACCGGAAAAACAAAAGATTCCTCAATGTGTGATGGAAGCAGCGCAACAGTTCTGACCGACCCTTCCAGTGCAGAGAGAGCGGCCCTGGATCTCTACCAACAGTTTTCACATGTGGTCGACGAGCCGAACCACGAGCGGACATGCGGCGCAAATGGGCACACGATTCACCAAAGGAGCTCTTAAGGGGCAGCACGTGCTGCAAGAAAACGCCGGTTGGAATAAAGGCACAAAACATATGGATGCCACGCTGTTCGGTCCTTCCGGCAAGGTCGTCTGATGAGACGCGGGAAGCTCCAGGACAGCGAAGGCAATTTTGGTGGATTCAGGGATGAGAGCCGGAACGATTGCAAAGCGCCCGCAACAATACAATGCACAATTGAGATTGTGTCACGATTCAGAACGCATTCCCCCCTTAGTGGGTTTGACGTACTTAATACCACACGGGCCGAAGTACGACGGACTTGGCGGCACGCACTATGTAGAGACAGCGCAGCCTTGGCAATTCCGCGAACTCTCAGCGATCATTGTTGGCAGCAGCGGAACACGCGAGAGCAAAGGCGAGAAATTCCAGCCGTGTCTCTATATATATATATATATGTATATCTCGGAGGCGAGGGGGTGAGATCGAAGTGGAACGGAGAGCCCCCCTACCGGGATATCGATTTCGGTTTCGTGTTCGTGCGTTCCGTGCGTGCGGGCGAGGCGAAGCTGCGTGGGCGGGCGAGAGAAAGTCTCCTGTGGCTGAGGCGCGGCCGGACCAAATGTGTCTCTTCCGGGCGGCCGGTGGCGCGCGGTGTCCCGCTGGTGTCCCGCTGGTGTCCCGTCGGTGCCCCTGTGGCTGAGGCGCGGCCGGACCAAGTGTGTCTCTTCCGGGCGGCCGGTGGCGCGCAGTGTCCCGCTGGTGTCCCGTCGATGTCCCGTCGGTGTCCCGATAGTGATGGTCCCCGATGATTCTGATGATGATGATGACGATGGTGATGATGTTGATGATGGTGATGATGACGATGATGTTGATGATGGCGATGATGATGATGATGGTGATGATGATGATGATGTTTATGTTGATGATGAGATGGTGATCGCAAGCCCACCAAACGAAAATCTTAACCGTACTTAACACACAACGTAAATGCACAACGTTAGCAACACATAATACACAGCGTAAGTACACAACGTCAGCATAACATTCTGCACAGCGTTAATACACAGCAGCACGCATATACACAGCGTAAATACACAACAGCACGCATATACACAGCGTACATACACAACAGCACGCATAGACACAGCGTAACTACACAACAGCACGCATATACACAGCGCAAATATACAACAGCACGCATATACACAGCGTAAATACATTGCAGCACGCGTATACACAGCGTAAATGCACAACAGCATGCGTACACACAGCGCAAATACAGAACAGCACGCGCATTTACAGCGCAAATACACAATAGCACGCAGATGCACAGCGCAAATACACAACAGCACGCGTATACACAGCGCAAATACACAGCAGCACGCGTATACACAACGCAAATACACAGCAGCACGCCTATACACAACGTAAATACACACCAGTACGCGTATACACAGCGCTAATACACAACAGCACGCGCATACACAGCGCAAATACACAACAGCACGCGTATGCACAGCGTAAATACACAACAGCACGCGTATGCACAGCGCTAATACACAACAGCGAGCATATACACAGCGCGAATACACAGCAACACGCATTTACACAGCGCGAACACACAATAGCACGCATATGCACAGCGCGAATACACAACATCACGCATATACACAGCGCAAGTACCCTCCAGCACGCGTATACACAGCGTAAATACACACCATCACGCATACAACCAGCGTAAATATACAACAGCACGCATATACACAGCGTACATACACAACTTCACGCATATACACAGCGTAAATGCACAACACAGCATACACACGCGTACACAACGCGTGAATACACCGCGTAAATACACAGCGTAAATAATTACAGCGCGCATAGACACAGCGTACATACACGGTGTACATACACAGCGTAAGTGCCGCGTAAATACACAGCACGTATACACACAGCGTACATTCACAGCACTACGCAACGCACACTACACTACGCACAGCACGCATACACAGCGTACATACACATCACCACGCAACACACGCGACACCACGCACAGCACGCATATACATGGCGTAAAAACACAACGTAAATACACAGAGTGAATACACAGCACGCGTACACGCTGCGTAAATACACAGCGTAAATACACAGCGTGAAAACACAGCGTAGATACAGCGCGACTACACAACAGCACGGATATACACAGCGTAAATACACAACGGCACTCATATACACAGCGTGAATACACAGCACGCTTACACACAGCGTACAATAGCAGCACTACGCGACACACACGACACCACGCACAGGACGCAAACACACTCAGCGTAACTACGCAACGTACATACACAACATAAATACACAGCGTGCGTAGACACAGCGTAAACGCACAGCGTGATACCCAGTGTAAATACACAACGCGCATACACGTAGTGTTTTACGTTGTGCTTTTACGTTGTGTATTACGCCGCGCCGCGTTGTGTATTTGCGTTGTGTTTTCTGCGTGGTTTGCGACAACTCTCTGACGATGGTGGTGATGATGATGACGTCGATTGTGAGATCGATAGTGAGATCGACAGTGAGGCCGAATGTGAGACCGAATGCGAGATCGATTGTGATATCGATTGTGAGATGGATCGTGAGATCGATAGCGAGATCGATAGTGATATCGATAGTGAGATCGAATGTGATATCGATTGTGAGATCGATATGTTGCTGATGGCGATGATGATGATGATGATGTTGGTGTTGTTGATGATTTTGATGACGTCGATTGTGAGATCGATTGTGAGATCGATAGTGAGATCGACAGTGATACCGGATGATGTGAGACCGAATGTGACATCGATTGTGGGATCGATTGAAAGATCGATAGTGAGATCGATAGCCATATCGATAGTGATATCGATAGTGAGATCGAATGCGAGATCGATTGTGCGATCGATCGCGAGATCGATTGAGTGAGACGTTGGTCCCCCCTCCCCCCTCACCTCCTTATCACCCGCAGGGTGGTCGTATAGGTGTGTATATATATATATGCCTTCTGCTTCAGTGCCTGGGCTGGGTGCACAGCCTAATGGGTGCGTGTGTGTGTGCCTCTCCTTCTGTCCCCCCTCTTTCTTAATTCAGGCTTTGCGCGGCCCGCTTAGTCTCGACCGGAAGAGGTGCGCTCTCGACCCGCGAATAATAAATGTGTGTGTGTGTGTCTGTGTGTCTGTGTGTTTGTGCGTGCGTGCGTGCGTGCGTGCGTCCTTGCGTGCGTGTGTGTGTGAGAGAGAGAGAGAGTGCGTGTGTGTGTGGGGTTGGTGGGTGGTTGGGGGGGGAGGGGGGGCCTCTTGGTGGCAGGTTTGAAGCCTCTTGGGGTCCACTTTGGGCCCCCCTGGGGGTTCTTTTGGTTTTCTTGGGGGCCTCTCGGGCCTCTTGGGGGCCATTTGAGGGCCTCTTGGGGCTTCCTGGTCGTCTCTTGGGGCTTCCTAGGGGCCTCTTGGGGCCGAAATTGTTCGAGGCCTTTCGGGGCCCTCATGGGGCTCTCTTGGGCCATCTTGGGGCGCGTCTTGGGCCGTCCTGGGGCGCTCCTATAAGCCGTCATGCGGCCGAGAACGATCAAGCCCGATCGACCGTGGCAGGAGCCAGAGCCCGCTCGGTCTTCGAACGGGTGTGCTGCAGCCTGGTACGTAATTTTATGTGTATTCGTGAAAGGTGCACGTCGCTGGACGTACACATTGTTCATCTCTAATTATTCGAGGTTTTTTTTTTGGATTTCTTTTATTTCTAATTCTTCTATCCTGGGCCCCTTCCTTGCCACTTGGCGGTCAGGAACACTTTGAAACGAGCACAATTAGAAATGAGCACGATTAGAAATGAACGACGTGTAATTACTTGTATTCGTGACTGGTGCAAGTCGCTTGACGTAGATCTGCGAGGCGGGTCACCGATCTGTGGGCATGACCCAGGCGCCCATGTCACAGAGTCAGCGAGTCCTTCAGTCAGCTGAGGAGCCGGTGGGCGACCTGCGCCAGGGATCGGCGAGTCAGGCATAGTATTGGACTGTTTTGCCAGGCGCAGGGTCATAGAAGTCGTCGCCGAGTCCAGGTGATTCCAGCGGGGTCGTTTTCGCCGACATTGGCGCGCATGCTGCCCGCGTGAGGTCACGCGCTAGCCCCCCGCGTTTCCAGTTTAGCGCGCCGCGATGGCGGGCCGCGTAACCTGCGGCGTGAGGTCGCTATGCCATCTCGCGCAAGTCGCGTTCCTGACCGTCGCTCGCGTGTGTGGGCCCCCGTGGGTGTTCCGATCCCCTGCGGTCCCCGGGGAGGGCCACGCCGCTGGACCCCCTCCTCCCCCTCCAGGCGCAGAGCGTGAACGCGCTGCAGGGCGCGTGGAGCAACATGGACTGCCCCAGCGAGCACTACGTCATCGCGGGGCACTGCGTGACGCGAGTGGACGCCCAAGGCCACGGCACCCGGCCTTCGTCCGCGGCCGCTGGCGCCGACGGCCGGCCCCTGCGCGCGTGCGGGGGCGGGGGCGCTGGCTGAGGCTGCGCCGAGCTCGGGGGGCGAGCCCAGGGGCATTCGAAGGATCCCTGGCTTCCCCCGGAGGATTCTGGAGCAGCAGCAGCAGGAGGAGGAGGAGGAGGAGGAGGGAGCAGGGAGGATAATGGCAGGGAGGAGGGCGAGGAGGAGGGAGAGGACGAGGACGGGCCAACGAGGGAACACTTCCCCTCCTCCTTCCCCCCCGCGCACGCGCGCGGCCCGCTCCGCGCGGCAGGAGCGGGCGGAGCGCGAGGCCCCTCTGCCGTCACCGCTGCAGCAGCCCTTCCTTCCTCAGTCCGTCCTCCTTGGCCGTGCGTCGGCCGCCCCCGTGGGGAGACGTTGGGGGGAGGGGGACGTTTAGGCAGCGCGGCGCGCCGCCAGTTCTGGCCCGCCACGCTTCGGCACGACGCGCCGGTCCACGTCCCGGTCCCCGAGCGTCCATGGCCCCGAGTCTTGCCCAGCCTCCCGCGCCGCGGAGCGGGGCGGCACGCCAACAGTTCCCGACTGTGGGGGGATGGGGATCGGGCTCACGGGGGATGCATGGACCCCCCATGTGATGGGCCTGTTTTCCACCACCACCACCACCAGAAGTTGGAGGGAGGGAAGGAGGAGGAGGAGGACGAAGAGGAGAAGGAGGAGGAGGTGGAGGAGGAGGACACCCGCCCACTCCAACTTATGGTGGTGGTGGTGGAAAACAGGCCCATCACCATGGGTCGCCCCCCACGAGCCAAATCGCCCATTCGCCCAATCGCCCCCAATCGCCCCTTCGTCGCCCGCAGTGGCCCGATGGCCCGTCCCGCCCAGGACCGTGCGGATCCGCTGCTGCGTCGGGGGCCTGCAGGGACCCTCGGGGCCGCCCGGAGAGCACCCGCTGACCCCTGAATTGGGCGCTGCGTAATGGGGGGGTCATAAATGGGGGGGCGGCGAGTGTGGTCCGAAAAGGTACCCAAATGGTACCTAAACGAGCCCCCTGGGGCTCTGGAGGGGCCCGAAAGGGGCACGAAAGGGGACCGTTTCTGACCCCCCCATTTGTGACCCCCCCACTAAGCCACGCCCAACATGAAGGGCCGTCGCGAACCATGTCAGGCCGCTTTGACGCAAGACGTGTATGCCCCATCTGGTTTACGCTCCCCCTTCAGATTCGACCGATTCTGCCCGGTGAGCGGGTCACTCTTTGGGAGCCCCAGGGGATGGAGTTTTGCCTCGCGTGGTTGTGCCCCGCGGGAAGGAGAGCTTGGCGGACTCGGGAAGCGGCGTGTTGGGCGAGGGGGGTAATGTTGAATGTGACGACGTGTGTGTGCGTGTGTCTCTGTTTGTGTGTGTCTCTGTTTGTGTGTGTGTGTGTGTCTGTCTGTCTGTGTGTGTGTGTCCGATGCTTGTGTTTGTTTTTCTAACTCCTCTCCCGAGGTTGCAATTTGTTCGCGACGTGGGCCCCCCTTGGGGATCTCGACGCCGTGTTTTCTGGGGCCTTCCTTTCTCGGTGCGATCGACATGGGTAGAGACGGAAAGAATGGACACGAAGATTGACAGCAGTTCTCACCCATTTTGAAGAGGGTTCGTTGTCCGTGCTGCCAAGGGCGTGGCCCATTTGAGGGAGAAGGCCGCCTGCCCAGCAGCGGCTGCTGTGGGGTTTGGACAGCAGTTGCAGTTGGGCCTCGTTCCTGGTTTTCTTCAGGAGGGGAAAAAACACACAGACACAATTAATCGGCGATTCTCAGAAAATATAGGAAAATATGGGAAGTGGGGGGGAAGACAAAAACCCAGAAAATATGGGAAACTATGCGGGATGTTTTTATTTGTGTGTATCTATTTGTGTGTCCTGGGGCCCCTTTCATTTCTCCGTGCACATTCTGGGCGTCCAATGTTTTATCCTGTATCGGCTCCAGCTGGTCCCGCGGGCCGAGGGACGCCCCCCTTTGGGGGGCCGCAGCATGCAGAAACAGCGCGCCTCCGAGTTTTGATCTGCCGCGCCCCTCAGATCTGGGCGGGGTGGAAAGCGGCGCCCCTGTTCGCCCAAGCTCGCGAGCGCCCCAAGCAGGACTTGCTTCGATCCGATCGATCCCGCTCGATGTCGGCCCTGGTTGGCTCGATCCGGTTCAAGCTTGACGTTCCAGCGATCCGACGCCGCTTGCATGATGCTGCCATTCCTTCTGGCGCAGCCGATCTGATTCGATTTCGACTCCGAGCCGACGCAGCCCGATCCGACGGTCGTTCCGATTCGACCCGGCTTCTCAATTCCATGCAGACTGATCTTGCCCTCGCTGTGACAGGTCCCCAGCACTTCACCCTGCATTGGGACCAGCAGAACAGGCGGCTGCAGTGGGGCACCCACGGCCGCCTCCACCTCGCGTGGCTCTGCGAGGCGACGCGGCGACCGCCAGAGAAGTGACCAGCAGAGACTGGCCGCTCGTCGCGAAAACACGATTCAGACGCCACACGTCCTGAGACAAATCATTGACATGAGTTCGTTGGTTTCTGCTTGTGGAGGCGGTATTCGACCCACAGGACCTTCCAAAGACGGCTCAGGATGAAAAGCCCGTCCAAGTGAGAGGTTGGGTGGGCATTGGCGGGGGCGTTGTATTGGAATTGCGAAGACACCGGATGTCTTGGGACGGAGCGTTTTTGGCTACGTTCGGCCTGGCCCTGGCGAGGGCGCGGGACCGTGGAAAGCATCGGCCTCGGGAGGGCAAAAACAGCTCCAGGTGACAAATGCGGGCCCGAGACGAAACACTCGGGGTAAAACCCCAAGGATGAACAAAAAAGGCAACAGATTCTCGGGGGCCCATGTTACGAAGCAAAGCACGCAGTCGGATGTATGGGAACAGTGGGAGCATTGACCCTTGGATTGTCGCCATGTGGTGGCCTGGCGTTTTCACATCAGATGGGAAGTTGGCAGCCGTCAGACATCAGGGGACTTCGCATGCCGTATATGCCTTGCCAGTTGTAGTGTGTCCCGCTGGTGCTGGTGTCAGAGGTTTGTTGTGTTGGTACCGTGGTGCGAGATTGCCAAATAGTCTGACACATGACACCATCCTGCACGTTTTCGTCGTGTCACAGACACATTTCCAGCAACCCGGCATGCCTGGACGCCAGCGCGTTTCGCGCGCTTGCCGCCCTTTTGGGTCGCCTCTGGGCGACGGCTGACTCGTTTGCGCTCAGGACGGCTTCAAGAACGGCCCAGAGAGGGGCCCTTACTGTAAAAGGCGGGAGTTCCGTTGGAGAAGCCTCGACAGCGCCCGGGTCTGCGTGAGACGGGTCAGTCAGGGGGACAGACTGCATAGCTACCAGATCTGGCGATCGGTCGGCTTAGGACATCTTTCTCCGTGGATCGGGCGACGCGTGAGAATACATGTGAAAAGGCGGTGGCGATACACAAGGGCACGAAGAAACGCACTGAGTGTGTGAGGGTGTGGGTTTTCGTGGAGATGTATGCGGATGTACGGGTGTGGCCCGCGACGGTACCAGGAAGCTGGATATTCAAGACGCGGTTGGGCTGGGCAAGATTTGGATACACATGTGGCCAGATGTTCTTCAGCGCTCGGCCGTTATCGCCGGGCACGAAGGTCTTCCGCGCGTAATTCGGTTACGCGTAAGAAAGGACCCTCGCCAGAGTGGCATGTGGTGCCCGGCTTTCGGGGGGTGCGGGGGGGGGGGGGGGGCAACCCCAAGCATGCAGGCTGCTACTGTCGCATCGCGTGCGACGATCGTCATGCCGCGCACCACGCGCACCACAGGTCATTTTTGCACATGGTCGCTCTTGCGTGCAGCCGAGTGCATCCAAAGCGTGGCCTCTGGATGCTCCACGTGACATCAGCCACTTGTGTTTTCCAGCTTCCTGGTATGCGGCGCATCGTGCAGGATGACGATTCACAAAATGGCCTGGGAGGCCGTCGCGCAGCAGCGTCTTTGGAGATACTCTTGCACAGTTCCGGGCCTCTTCGTGAGTGTCGTCCTCGTTGGGGAACATTGGTCGTCCTCTCCAGTATCTTCCACCGCGGCAGCTCTCGCGGTCTTGGAATCCCCACAGACAATCTGTAAGTTTATTGAGTAACTAGTTGCTTTTATCTCAGGCCTGGTGTGATTGATGTTCACAGGATTCTGAATCGATGGTTCGGTTGTAGTTTGTGCTGAGGCCCGAGGTGCCCAGTATGCGCCTCAAGAGTTACCCGACAAACCAGTTGGGTGCGAAAGCCGATGGAGTGCATTTCCCACAGAAAAAAAACACAATTGGCACCAGCGGGGGGGGATCTACACAACATATTCTTCAGAAGTCAGTGCTCAATAGCCCAACTATCTCAATCTCAATATGCATCGTCATTGTCGTCGTACTCGTGCGCATCGTACGGTATGTATCCACACTGTCATCACCTTTTTCGCATATACCCGCCGCAAGCATTACAATCATTCACGTGTCCTCGATCCGTATTGCCCCGAATCGTTCGGACATTGCAGAAACGAACACCGACGTTGTTGCCTTTGACCTGCCGACTTTGCCCGTCCTCTCTTGCCCAGGGCGTGATCGCCTGGGTACCGCCGGGCTCTCAGTGCGCCATTTGCGCGGCCCTCATCGCGAGGAGGAGACGATCACCTTGCATCCGTGGTTCGATCCTGGCATGTAGCTTGCCTGTGCCTCGATCTCCTCGAGGCTCTCACTTACAGCTGCTCGATCTGCGATCGTCAGCGCGTCGTGCAAACACTTGGTGTCGTTCCCAGTTGGTAGCCGAGCAGGTCCCAGCTGCACGGAGCAAGATGTCACGGCGACCCTTGCGCCCCTGGCCCCACCAGCCCTTCACAAGGCCTGGACCCTTCGGCCGCGACCCCACGGACGCAGGGTGACCCTGCGCGGATGTCCCGCGCAGCGTAGCCGCAGGCTCGCGCGTCCACGGGATCGCACCTCGGTGCCCAGACCGCGACGGCATGGGGTGTGGATGCCGTCGCCGCTCGTGGGAATTCCAAGTCCCTCCTCCCCTCTGGCGACACCTCCACCGACCCCCGCGCAGAGCCCGCGGCCTCGCCCTGCGGCTCGGGGGGGATGCCGCAGGGCGCAGGAGGGGGAACGGCCGTGCCGTCCCCGCCCCTGCATTCCTTTCTTCCCTCCTCGTTGGTGGCGGTCAGGTGGGCAGCGACCAGAAATCCCAGGCTTGCCTGCCCGTATCGCAGGATCGAGGGGCAGTGTCGGCTCGGATCTGCCTACCTTCTAGGCTGTGCTCCACCCTTTCCTCTGCCCTGATCCGCTCTGGGCGTCGCAGGTCTGTTCACCGGGCGTTTCAACCCAGACTCGGGGCCCGGGACCCTCGTGGACCGACTCGGCTCGAGAGGTGCCGTCGAGAATTTGGGTCCAGGGCTTCGGCCGCGATTCTGCGCGAGGATGCACTCTTTCGCGGCGTCGGATCTCGGGGTCACTGCTTCTCCTCGCTGCTCGGCTCGGCTTCGTTTCAGTCGTGGACGGGGCACGACCCCAGCGCCCGCCCGATGCGCGAGAAGCCGCACCCGGATGCCAGCAGCGAGCCTCGCGCGATCCTGTGCTCCTCCGCCGCTCGTTCCTCCTCGTGCACCTCGCCTCGGTCCCACCCCCCCCCCTCCTCCCCCTGTCCTCCCGCCCCTCTTTTAGCAAGAGGTGTTCCCCAGCGAGCGAGGCCGCTGGTAGGCGCACATGCCGTGCAGCGCAGGAGCCATTGACCCCATAGAAGTCCGACCACTTGAGGTCCCATAGGTTCGACGGGTTCCACGTGTGCCGCAGTTCCCACTGGCAGGCCCCACGGGTCCCGCAGGTCCCACGGGTCCCACAGGTCCCACAGTTTCGCAGGTCCCTCGGGCCCCACAGGACCCTGCGAGCCCATCAGGTCCAGAGCTCCCACAGGCCCTGGAGGGGCTTGCGGGTCCCGTAGGTCCCGCAGGTCCCGCATGTCCCACTGGTCTCACGGCTCCCGCATGTCCCACAGGTCTTACAGCTACAACACGTTCCGCAGGTCCCGATGGTCCCACATGTCCCGCAGGTCCCACGGGTCGCATGCCACCTTGGCTACTATCAGGGTGCTGTGCTTTGGTGCGTTGCCCTGGGTTTGTGGTCTACGCACGCACGAGCAATTACTTTCTCCAGTCCCTCCCTCTTTCCACCCGCCTCCTCCCTCCTCCTCCTCCGTCTCTGCCTCTCCCCCCCTCAGAGAAATGCAACATGGAGGTTGCATTTGAGTCGCAAAGTATTCCTCATCTGTAGTGCCACCCGTGTGCTGCTGTTCCTTGCTGTGAAAGGGGGTCCAGGGGCATGGAGTGCTCGGCATGGTGCAACAAGGAGGTTGCATTTGAGACGCGTTCTATTCCTCATATGTAGTGCCACCCGTGTTCTGTTGCTCCCTGCTTTGAAAGGGGTCCAGGGGCATGGAGTGCTCGGTACGGTGCAACAAAGAGGTTGCATTTGAGACTCGTTTTTTCCTCATCTGTGGTGTCATCTCGCTCTGGGAACAAAGACAACACGAACATCGTGCGCTGGAACAAAAGTTTTGAAGTACTGGGCGCGCGTGTAATTGCTTGAGCTGCGCGCAGTGCCGAATGGGCCATGGGCGCAAGTGGGAAACTCTGGATTTGTCTCTTGGACTTGCGGAGGCGGTGCTCTCTATCATGGTCACAGCATTATTGGTGAACCTTGGGTTTGCTATGATCCGCATCTCCATTCTTCTCTTACCATCCGTCCTCCACCTGCTCTTCCGCCTCCTCGTCAATCTTCCTCTTCATCTGTCGCCCCCCCTTTCCCTCGCCCCCCCCCACTACCCCCATCCCCACGCCTTCGGCATGGCTGTCTTACCTGATGGTTACCAGTTGGGGGGTGTCTCAGACGTGCTTGAGTAGCCACCAAGAAGCTGGTCAAGTGGCAAACGGACCTGGCATCTGGGTGTGATTGCAGGGAGTTTAGGACGGAGCCTAGTTGTTGCTCTCCATCCCCCCGACCCCCGCAATGGGCGTGTTTTGACGGTCCAGAGTGTGTGTTAACCAGACCCACTACCAGTCTTGGAAAGAAGCTTCACAATTGAAGAGGTGAAACAAATCTGCACGTAGTCTTAAGCGTGGCAGTGCTTGAGTATTGGACAGCTATTGCTACAGGCTCGGGCGGGCTCGAATGGGTCACGGATTTGTGCATCATCTCCACAATCCACTAGAAGAATGGCGCCCTCGACAACTGCGACAATCATCGTCCAATCAGTCTGCTGCGCGTGGCCTACAAGCTCGTGGCAGGGCTCATCTTGAAGCGGCTGCAGGTCGCCGGGGCCGAGGATAGGTTGAAACCAACACAGTGCGGCTTCCGCCGGGGGCGTGGGACATCAGACGCACTACATGCTGCACGTCGTTACATCGAGTTGGCATCTGCAGACAAGCGTGGGGGCGTAGCATTCGTCGCGCTGGATTGGGAAAAAGCCTTTCGACTGCACCAACGCGGCTGCGCTTTTGGAGGCGCTGCGAAACTTCGGAGTCCCGGGCCGCATCCTGAACATCATTGGCAAGATTTACGGCGGCAGGACAGTCCACGTTGCAGATGGCCGGCAGGGAACTCTCGCGCGGATGCCCATTGTCCCCACTCCTGTTCGCGATGGTGACGACGATGGTTATTGGGGACGCTGCGCGCCACGCAGAGGCTGGAGTGCGACAAGCTTTGACGGACGAGTCTTTGGCTATATCTTTGTAAGCGGATGACACTTTGTTGGTGGGCCGCAACCCGGATCACCTTCAAGCCTTGCTGGCAGAAATCGTTTGCGGTATATCGTGGAGCCACGCGGTACGCTGTCTAACTCTGGGCAGTTACCTGGAGAAGTGAGCAGACGATTTGGACCTGCTTGGGGTGAGTTTTGTAAATATGCGCGCGCCTGTGTTAGAAAGCATCAAGTTGTTCAAGCATTAGTAACAAGTAAAGTTATGTGTTCACTGCATTTGGCGTTGCTCACAAAATCTGAGCGCAGAAGGTTAGATGGCTTCCAAGCGAGGTGCCTACGTCGCATATTGCACACTTCCCGCGCGTACTTATTCAATATTTTCCAAGGAGCAGGTGTTGAATCAGGCCAACAGCCCTACACCGGTCAGCTATTAAGGTCTCAAAGGTTGTGTTTTGGTAAAGTATGCATGGCGATGGGTTCGGACTTTTTGCGGTGCCTCACCTTCCAACCAGGAAGCGCGCGACCAGCCGCAAACGCTCGCGGTCGTGCAAGAGGCCGGCCCAGAAATGAATTGGCCAGGTTTTTATACAAAACCGTCGCTCCGCACTTCACGTTTGGACCAGCAATACTGCAATGTGTTAGCGAGCCGGCAGCAAGGCATCAATTTGTCATTGGCATTGTGTCTCTCCCTGTCCCTTACCCCCCTCGTCCTCCTCCTCCCCCCCTCCTCCTCTCAAGCACCACATCGGGTCAAGCCAGCCTTCGTTCAAGCTTGCTTGCCCCGCATGTCCCAGAGCTGTACCTCCTTCGGGTGTGCTTACTTAAGCGCTTTCGGGGACAATAGCTTCGCGGAGGTGAACGCTGGGATCGTGGCTCGGCGCTGTCACGAGTTGGAGGGGGCGACTTGTGGTTGATCTGCTCCAGAAATCCGCTACCGATATCTGCCATGTTCGTGCTCGTGCCGGTTCCCTCGAGGCCGCGTGCATGTTCGGGGTTTCTGTTTGAGTTCGTCCTGGAAGTGTTGCCCGCGCTATTTGTTCACAGCGCTGTAATTATTTTACGTGCCACTGGCCTTTCCCTTTTTTTTGGGCGTACGGCACGTCATTGCAGTGGTGGGATTGTGGGCTTTCCGCATTTGTTATCAGCATCGTTCCTTTATCTGGGTTCTTGGCGGCGTCTTTCTTGTGGCTGAGCCTGGCCCAGGCCCGTATGGGCAGGTATGGCAGCTTTTTTGTTTGATTAGTACGGTTTGGCTTTGCTGTATTTTTTCATTCATCGTTGCAGCTCTGAGATGTAAATTGTTCACATATTGCAACTGTGGGGTGTCTGTATTCATTGTTACCACTTCCAATGGGTATTTACAGTGCGCTGGCGTATTGCGTGTTGGTGGAGTGGCGCCCATTACTTACGGATGCTCATCGGCACTGTCTTTGGGCCGTCTGCACTGGGCGGGGCGTGGGGCTGTGGCGTATGTTTGCTGTGGTCAGGCTGTTCGTCATCTTTGTGCGTGACCACTGGCAGTGTACGGCGTCATGCACGCCGTGGGGCTTTCATCGACATTGCGTTATACACGGAGTGATTATCGCTATACCTTCGCTCGAGTATGGCGTTGACGAGGGCGTGGTGCAGTTTATTGACCTAGCCGTGGTCTTCCTCATCTTCGTGGTGCTCGTGTTGGCAACGTCCGACGCGGGCTGCTCTTTGCCGTCGATGCTAAACAAATCCCCCCCTCCTCCTCTTCCTCCGGCAGCGCAAGAGGTACACTAGAGAGTGGGCGCGCCGCCTTCCCCGCGAAGGGGTGAGCAGAGGCTGGCAGTTCGCACCTGCGCCCAAGCGTTCTGGCGTATGGTTTGTCTGTCTGTCTGTCCTGTTCAGCAGGTGCGTGTATTAAGGGCCTCGTTGATAGGTGTGGTCATCATGCGGCTGGATCGTTCTGCCCTCGAATCCCCATCCCGTTCCCCCGTCCCCGTCCTTGTTTTCTCTTTTCCCCAGGTTCCTGATCCGCCCTACCCTTCCCCTTCCCCCCATATTCCTCCCCCCCTTGCCTTCCTACCCTACCTCTTGCCGCTTCTTGTTCCCCATTCGCCCCGTCTCCTCCGCCCCCTCCCCTTCGGTCCCTGACCCTCCGCCTCCACGCTCCCCGTGGCCCCTTGCCGTTCTCCCATGTCCCTGCCCCGTTCTCCTCCTTTGGCCTTCGTTGCCAGCGGGTAGTTGATTGACTCGCTCGACCACTGGCCATAAGTTGTCTCAGCTGGTGATTCGAGTCGCGTCGAGGCCTCGCCTTCCTCTACATCCATCCTCGTCACGCGGCTGACCCAGGCAGACAGCCGCCCGAAAGGAGCAGGGCGGAGGAGGAACACTTGGAGGGCGTCCGCAGCCCTGCTCTACACCGCCTCCGGCATGGCTTCAGGAAGGGGCCCCCCCCATGCCGCAGACCCCGGACGTCATGATTCTGTCAATTTTCAAGTCGGGGGGTCTTTGAACGAAGGATTGCAAAAAACCCCGAAGGATTGCAAAAAAACGAAGGATTGCAAAAAAACCCGAAGGATTGCAAAAAAAAGGATTGCAAAAACACCCTGGTTTTTTTTGCAGTCCAGGGTTATTTTGCAATCCTTCCCCAGAGCAGGTTTTGCATCCCGACTGGTTTTTGCTGACGGCCCTGGGGCCCGGCGACAGCACCTCGAGGCCCAGCACGGCCACATTGTGTGGGGTCCACCTCACGAGCGCGTGGGCAGACTCGCACCAGGAAGCGTTCGCCATATGTCGGAGGGGGGAGATGCGACACCAACACCACCAGGGGGCCCACCTCCAGCGAGGAGGTCCACGATGCCTCCCCGAGCTGGAGGCTGGGGATGTCTCGAGCGAGAGGGGGGGACCACAACACCAGGAAGACCCCCCCTTGCTCACCGCATCTCCTCGCCCTGTTGGTGTTGGTGTCGCTTTTCCTTGTTCCTAATATGTCCTAGCTTCTCACCGTCTGGACAACAGTTCGGTGACGCGCTCGTGAGCCGTTGCCTCGGAGTGGGCTTCCAGCTCCAGTGCTTGCCGCGGGCCAAGGGGACACACAAAGACATCCGCCCCGTACTTCTCAAGAGCAAGTCCTTTTCCCGTCGTGCGCCTCGCCGTGACCCGAGGGGGGTCTGGGGCTGCAGCCCGCTTCCGAGGTCGGTCAGCAACGCCCGCGCATGGCGCTGGCAGCGCGCGGCGGCCCCGGCGGCCCCGCCGGCGCCGCGCCACCTGGAGCGGCCAGGCGCGGCCCGCGGCCGTGGCTGCCGGCCGCTGCGACGGCCCGGCCTGCCTCGGCCACTCGGGCCAGGCGAAAGGGGGGGATTGGGAAAGGGGGGGTTACGAAATTTGCTGCATGCAGCTGGTTTCGGCCTCACCGAGGGGCCCATTCCTCGATATATAGCTCCATCCGGCGCCGGGAGGCGCCGGGAAAATCAGCTACGTGAGCTGATTCTCAAACCCCCCCTTTGCTATCTCCCCCTTTCGCCCGACCCGAACGGTGGGGGCCCGGGCAGCACGACGCCGTCCTCGTCGGGCCGCCTCGGGGCGCGGCGGAGAACCCTACCGTCGGCCCAGATTAGTAGGTCGGCCCTGCCAAGTCAAGGGTATCCTTGTGTCCTGTGTGTCGCGACCCATGCTTCCTACATTCCTGTGGCAATGTGGCCCTCGGAAGGGTCTTGTGTCCTCTCGCGTGTCCTGTCCAATCGAGTCCGACTGTATCGAGGTCCCCGCCCGTACCCCAGGGTGCCCCCCAGGGTGCCCGTCGCATGCCGCACCCTTTGCAAGCCACACCCTTCGGGTTCGCCGACCGTCGCCCGCCCACCGCCGTTTAGGGCAACGAGATCTATGTAGACATGCTCGCATCGTGAATAAAAATCCGGACTGGCGGATTGTCGCCGCGTTTGGCCTCTGGTGGCACTCAAGGGACCCGGAACCATCAAGACACCAGTCAAGGGAAAGGCTCGGGACTACCAGAGACCCCGTAGTTTGGGTCTGCATTGCCGTTCGTTTTTGGGATTATAATTTCCCCCATGACGATTTTACGGATTTGGCCTCAGCCTCTGCGTTTCATCGGGAGTTCACTTGCCTCTGTGGGGGGACCTCCGTGCCAGAAAACATGTTGCAACCGCTAAACCGACAAACAGATCGGCGGATCACAGATAGCATAACACGTGTGCTTGCAGTTGTTTTTGCCCAAGGGGCATGTCGGCCGGTATTGATTTATCGGTGCGTCGGCCGCCCAATCGGTACACCATACGTGTATTTGATTGTCCCGTGGATCGGTTCCACAGGCACGGCTCCCGGCTTGTTTTGAAAGATTTCTGGGCACGGTGCCCGCAATATTTCTCTATTGATTGAATGAGATATGTTTGTTTTTTGGTTGGTAGTTAAACAAATCCCACGATTTGCGCCCTGATTTGCACATACGATGGAGCATGCTACAGGTTAGCACGTCGACAGTCGCAGAAGGCAGGTCTCTCTCCGTGTTTTGCAGTTACGCTCAGGGCAGGAACCACCTCATCACAACTTGTACCGTGCCGTAAGCAAGACAGCTCACCGCGTCCATTCGGCGGCCAGCCCGGGGGGAAGTGAGAAGGTGCGGGCCTTCTCAGCAGGCTCGGAAGTCTCCCGGCCTTCTGAGAAGTGCCCCCCCGGCCTTCTGAGAAGGGGCGGGCCTTTGCAGCAGGCTCGGAAGTCCCCGAAGGCAAGGACAGCTTCTCCGAAGGCGGCAGGGCTTCTGAGGGGCCCCGCCGCCTTCTGAGAGAGCCTTCTCCTCGCTCGACGCCGATGCATACCAACGGCCTCGGGGTCTGGCCTTCCCCGGCCGCGCCTCCCCCGTGGCTGCAGGGCGGCCTCGCGCGGACGCCACGCTCCGTACGCGTCCAAAGGGCCCCGTCCCTGCGGGAGCGCGCCTCGGAGCCCAGACCGCCGACGTGGCGCCGCGGGAGGCGGTTGGCCGTGAAGCAGAAGAGACAAAAGGTTGCCATACAGCTGCCATTCGCCTGTCAAAGGAGGAGGCGGAGGAGGAGGGGGAGGAGGAGGAGGAGGGCCCTGAGGAGGGGGAGGGGGGGAGGAGGAGGTCCTCCTCCTCTCCCCTCCTCCTCCTCCTCCTCCTCCACCTCCTCTCCTCCTCCTCCTCCCTCCCCTCCCCTCCTCCTCCTCCTCCTCCTCCTCCTCCTCCCCTCTCCTCAGTATATCTCATATCTCAGAAGGTGCCAGTGCCGCTGCCCTGCCCTCGCTTTCGCCCTTGGGGGCCTCCTGGGAAGCCATCGTCGCCACCGTTGGATTCGCCTCGAAAGTCTGTTCGGAACGCACCCCAGGAGACCGTGGAGTAGCGGTATTGGTACCTCGTGCTCCCCCCAGTGGAAACCTCGGGGCAAGGCGAGGAGTCGGCAGCTGCCGATGAGGCCGTCGACGACGCGTTTGGGGGCAGGGGTGCGCAGTCGTTGTCGCCGATGTCGTCGTAGGGCCTCTACGGGGTGGGGGCAGCAGGGGGGGGAGCCGGCGGGCGTCCACGAGTCTGGCTTACGAGGCACGTCGGGGCTGTCACCGCCGCCCCGCGAGCGGCTTCAAAGGGTTCTCCATCGTGCTCACAGGGCCTCGGGCGCATTTTCCGCACATCTCCGCACATCCACCAGTTGCTGCCCCTCCTCACGTGTCTGCTGAACGAAGGTCCCGGCGCTCGAGGCTGCGGGGCTTCGCCCTCCTGGGAAGCGGAACAGGCGGCGGCCACGTGATACGAAATGGTGTTTGCAGGACCATCGGACGTAATACATGCTGGAAAAACGTGTGCAGAAGCAGGAGGGGACAGATGCCGACAGCCTTGGGCCGTCTCGGAGCCTGGCCCGTCCAGAGGCTCGTGGACTCAGGAATGGTCATGAGATGTGACACCTCCTAGAAGTCACGCGAATGACCCCAAGAGGCACGCAGAGATCCCAAGAACAGATTGGGTCTGTGCCTCTGGGCACTTGAACGACTTTGCGATACCCAGGATTGAGGACTCTAGAGGACCTGAGGAGGCTCCGCTCAGTGTTTTGCGGTACGGCGGCAGATACAATGGCACCGATCCTGGCTAGGCCCATCTTGGGCCCACGATCGACGTACGCGATTTCCTTGCATGCCAGAAAAGCGCACACACCCACATACACAAACACCGATCCTGCGCCGAGGACTGGCCTGGTGCAAACTGGTGCCATAGGTCATTCTTGAACCAGTGAGGCATGAGCAGAGACCACCAAACGTACGGCGGCGGCAGACGGCCCGGCAGCGGCGGCGAACCTCCGCACCGCGCGTGCCCCGCAGGCCTCACCGCACCCGCGGTGGTCCCGCCGCCGGCCGAGCTCAGCTGGCGCGGGGGCCGTGCGGAGGACCGGCACCGAGCCGGACCTCCTCGAGTGCTTGTCGCTTCTTCGCCAATGGACTTGCGAAGACCACGCTGGAGAAGTGAAGGTGAGTGCAGATAATTCGAGGCAGTTCCAGGCGAATCCGGGCAAGTCCAGGTGAACCCAGTGATCCCCCGGATCGGTTTGAACAAACCGTGGCCGCTCCAGCGAGAGTCGATGAACGGCAGAAGTTATTGAATTTTTAACGATGACCACCAGGTCCATCCTCGGCCCGCGATCGGTGTAGACGCTTCCTTGGCCAGGTCGGGAGGCGGATTTTGTAGCAGATCATGGGAAGCCATGTGCGTGTCCTCGCAAGTCCGTCGATTTGCGTCCGGCCACTGATGAGATAGCGCCGACTTAGCGTCGGTTAGCGTCGATCTAGCGTCGGTCAGCGTAGATGCTGCGTCGATTAGAGTCGATGGGATGCTCAGGGTTGGTATGGTATGGTCCACTGTGTCGCCGCAGAAGAGGCTGAGAGAGTGGAAGAGACAGGGGGAGGATGAGCAAACAACGGAGGAGGCGTGGCCTTGATTCTGGGCAATGCCTTCCTGGACAGGGCCAGCGATAAGAAGAGGCGGATGGAGCGGAGAGAACAAGGAACGGGTCGGAGGGGCGGAGTGCATGGGAGCGAAGGCAAACGGGAAGGACAGGGAGGTGGGGTCCTTCTCACACGCCCCGCCATCCATCTCCCTGAATGTGCAAACGTGCGTAAATTGTTACGCCCAGGTCTCAGGGATCGTTGTGCCTCTTGCCAGGACCAGTGCAGAGTGTGCCTCGGCAGTGACTTCAAGGGGAATCCGTCCGTTGCGAGAAATGCTCCAAAAACTACATAAACGCACCCTCGAGCCTCAATCCTCGAATTTCGATCTGGACTGGGCTCGTTCATCTTCCCTCATTCCCTCTCCCTCCATTTCTCCGAGGTCTTGCTTCTCTCAGTGCGGGCTCCCTGGAACTCCCGACCCTGTTCCTCGGTCGTTCTTGATATTTATGAGCCCGGAGCCCGAACTTGATTCACAGGAGAACCTGGAGATGGCGATGCCGTTCCGCCTGCCCGGTGCGCGCAAGAGCGGCCTTTCGCCGGAGTGAGCTCTGGCGCGCGGCTTCTGGGGGGGCGCGGGGGCCAGACCCAGGCGCGCAGGCCGCCGCTGCCGCATCCCCCACCGGCAGGCCGCGCACCGAAGCCCACGCCCTGCTCGGTCGCTCCTGCGTGCAGCTGTGCCCCTGGACACGGTGTGATTTCCGCGGCCAGCACGGGTCCCGAGATGCACTTCCCAGGGGCAGTCTTCGTCCTGGAGCCATCTCCGAGTGTGGGGTTGGGGAGCACGGGAGCGAGGGAGGGCGGGCGGGAAGCGGGGCCCTCCCGCGCGCCCCTCCTTCCCTCTCCCTCCTCGCTCCCCTCTCCTCGCCCGTCCTCCTCTCCGCCCCTCCCCCCCCCCCACACCTCCTCGGAGCTCCGGGCCTCGCGCCTCCTCGAGACGTCAGAGGCCTCGGCCCGACGTCTGGCGCCCGGGGGCCGCCTCGCCGCCGCGCGCGGGCGCCTCGCCGCCGCGCGCGCCTCCCGCGCGCCAGGGCCGCTGGGCGGAGCCGGGCCACGCCGCGGCCGACCTGCGCTCCTTCGTCCCCCCGGAGGCCGTGGGGCTGTGCGCCGGCCTAGCGCCGCGGCCGGGGGCCAGGGCACGCCTCGGCTCTGCGGCGAGCGGAGGAGTGAGTCCTCAGCTCGTCCTCCTGCTCTTCCCCCTCCTCCTCCTCCTCCTCCTCCTCCTCCTCCTCCTCCTCCCTCCTCCTCCTCCTCCTCCTCCTCCCTCCTCCCCCTCCTCCGCCTCCCCCTCCTCCTCCCCCTCCTCCCCGTCTTCCTCCCCCTCCTCTTCCTCAGCTCTTCATCCTCCTGCTCTTCCCCCTCCTCATCATATCTCATAATTATCTCAGAAGGTGCCGGTGCCGCTGCCCTTCCCTCGCTTTCGCCCTTTGGGGCCTTCTGGGAGGCCCCTCGTCGCCGCCGCTTGATTCGCCTCGAAGTTCGGGTCAGCACGCACCCTGGGGGAGGCCCAGGGAGGAGCGGTATCGGTACCTTGTGGCGTTGACAATACCACTCCTTCGCCGCATCATGCCACTCCCCCTCCTCCTAAAGGAGAGATCTGAGGCAGCAGGCCGAGAGGGAGGAAGAGGCAGGACGAGGAGGAACTGGCTGCGTGACTCCTCAACATTCCTCATCCTCCTCCCTTCCTCTTCTCCTCCTGCGCCCCCCTGATCATTCTCGTAGGAGAGATATGCCAAACATGGGAGCATGAGGTGGGGCGATGGGAGCTCGAGGAGGAGTGAATCCTCAACCTTCTCCTGCCCGCATCGTATCCCCCCACTCTTCCTTGCAATGTGCCTCCTCCTCCTCTCCCTCATATTACAGCTCCTCCTGCTCCTCCCTTTCTCATCCGTCCTTGTCAGTTCATAAGAGATCAAGAGGGAAGCTTGAGTGGCGGAGAGATGCTGAGCGGGATGTCGAGGAGGAGGGGGAGGAGGAGGAGGTTGATGCATGAGATAAGCAAACGCAGGAGGAGGCAGAGGAACAGAAGGAGGAGGAGTGACTAATCAACTTTTTATGTTCATTATTCTTCGTCGTTTTCTCCTTCCTCCAGCTCCCCCTCCTCTTCCTCATATGTCCCCTCCCCCTCCTCCTCCTCCTCCTCCTCCTTTTCCTTGCGTATGTGTGATGTGGGTGGATCTAAACAAGGATGATGAGCAGGAGGAGGACGAGGATGTAGGATGGGGAGGAGTGGCTCATCCTCCTCTCCTTCCTCCGTTCCCTCACACCACTCCTCCTCGGCATCATCCTGCCAATCCCCCTCCACCTCCTCGTCACATCGGAGAGATATGCAGGGAACACAAAGACCACAACTTCCCGCAGCTTCCATGAGCCTGATCAGTCCGTGAGGGCCGCGGGACCCGAATCCGAGCAGAAAACGCCTGGCCAACAAGTTGCGACGCCCGGATCTCCAGGAACCTCGGGCCACTGAACCACGATGTACTACACCTTGTACATCCGACGATGCGGATGTTCCAATGCGCGGCCACTGAGGCTCAGACTCCCGCACGCGGAGCCAGTCTTTCGTCCTGGTTCCGTTTCTGATGGCCCCGGGGGCCCCGGTCACGGGCCCCAGGGGCCGAAGCCCGGGAAGGGCGCCGGGATCGGACCACAGATGCCCTCGGAGACCTGGCAGCCTCGACCTGCGACGGGCATCCCGGAGGCCTCGCTCGTCGTGCAGCAGTTGCAGCATCTAGTCCGCGTCCGCCCCGTCAATCACGGCACGACGTTTGCGCGGCGATATTCTGCCCCAGGTCCGACGTAAAGCGCGAATCCGACCAGGACCCGCTCCGACATACATGGGTCTCAAGCTGCCGCACGAGGCCTCAAGGAGTCTTCCCACGACGATGATCGAAGCTCGAGGCTCACGGAGACGATTTCCAATCCCTGACCCCTCGCTGCACGCCCCTCGACGGTCGGGTCTCCTGTTCCCTTCCCCGCGGCCGCTCTCTGTTTTGTCCACTCGATCCGTGCGCCCCGCGCCAAGCACGCCCCGCCGGTGTCGACCCGCGCGCTTGCGTCCGCTGGCGTTGCCGATTGCACGAAGTGGATTTTATATCCTGTCGAAGGCAGCGTGAAAGCACCTTGACCCTCGAACCCTCGTCCAGGCATCCCAGATGTGGTCGGAGCAGATGGGGTCGGAGGATCGCGCCGCATCGCCGATGCATCGGCGATGCGGCTAGATGTGAAGCCCGCTCTTCCCCACGCGGACGTCGCCGCGGCATCCCCGACGTCGCCCATTCATCGCCGACGCATCGACGATGCATCGTTGCTACAATGGCGACGCGGCGAGACTTTCCCACCCCATCTACTTCGACCTCGTCTGAGAGGCCTCGAACCTCGATGTGTGTCTGATACCCTCCCTGAGGGCGGCGCTGCGAGCTGCATCCCGCAGGGCCAGGGCGCCAGGCGGCGTCCGCGGGCCGCGCCTGCGCGTCTGCACCTGCTGCTGTTGCTGCTCCTCCTCTTCGTGTCCCCCCCCCTGCTGTTTCCTCCCCCCTTCCCAGCGACGGGGTGCCTTCTCGAGCTTGTATACAATCGGCCCGGATTGGTAGGTCGACCCTGCCAGCTCCAGGGTACCCTTGTGTCCTGTGCCTCGCGGCACGTGCCTTCTTACACTCCTATGGCGATGTGGCCCTCGAAAGGGTCTTGTGTCCTCTCGCGTGTCCTGTCCAATCAAGGCCGGTTGTAAACAGACATGTTTGCCCGCCCTCCCCGACCGCCCATGGGAGCCCCCGGCGGTCCAAGGCTGCACGGTTACGCGCCCTGGCGCCGGCCCAGCGTGGCCGCCCGGCCACCCTGCAGGAGCCGTGCCGGCAGGGGCGCGGGGAGTTCGAGGAGGATCGGTGTCCTGCTTCGGGCAGTTTCGCCCTCTGAGGAATTACGCTTTCCTCCTCCTCCTCCTCCTCCTCGCCCCCCTCCCCCCCACCTAGAAGGCAAGCCCCCGCCCCCCCAGTGCGTCCCCGCATTGCCCCAGTGCGTTAGGTACCGCAGTCTGGCACAGTGGGTTGCGTTGGAGTTACGCTATGCAACCCCCCCTGCCCTCCTCCTTCCCCCCCCTCATAACGCCTGCTATCGCCGCGAATGAAATAATGCTCTCGTATTGTGGGGGCGTTCGTTGAGGAACGGTCGGGCAGGAGAGGCTTGAGATCCTGGAGGATTCCCCATACGATGGCGGCGGCGGGGGATTCTCACACGATGATGGAGGCCTCACGTTGTGTTCCACTGGCTTCCAGATCCTGGAATCCTTAGATCTCAGGATTCCCTATCCAATGCCATCGCCGTAAGCAATCGGTGCTCCGCGCGTATTTCTTGGATCGGCCTTGGGGCGGCGCCGACCCCGGAAATTCACACGGACTCTCGAATGTGCATGTATATGTATGTTTCTTTCTGTCAGGGTTGTTTCCCCATTGCATCGTTAGATGTTGCTTCTCTCTCCTATGGCGCGTAACGGCCGTTGCCCAGGGTCAAGACCTTCCACATGTTAGTGTTCGCGCGCATACAGTGGCGATCGCAGCGCACCCCGCCTCGACGTGCCCCGCCCCGCCCACGCGTTCTTGTTACCCCGCCCCCGCCCCGGGGCCCCTCACCCCCCTGGGCGACGACCGCCACCAAAAATTAGATCACACACACACACACACACATGCAAGCCATCGCAGACCCCAAACAATGGTTCTAGGAGCATGTGTTGTTGAACAGTTGTGGTGCACTCTATGTGTTGCGGCCTGTGTTGTGCAAGATCTGTCGTGCGATCTACAGTGTGTCATCTATGTGGTGCAGTAGTTATATGTTGCGCAACCTATGTTGGGCAATCTATGTGGTGGAATCTACGCGGCACAAGTCATTTTTGTCACCTGCAAGTTGTCAACTTCATGACTCGCTCAAGCACCCGACGCACCCACCCGCAGCTTGGTTTGCAAAACTCAAGCGGCGGTGATTGCGATGACTGCTTGGCGCTGGCTGGCGCATCCTCTGCGGTCGCGCTAGTGTGCGCAGGCTCGCGCGAAGAGCGGCCTGAAAGTCTGGCGCGACCGAATATGCCGCGGTGGCGTTGACCTCTGGGGACTGCCCAGCGCGTCTCTCAGGCCGCCCTAACGCACGGGCAATCCAGTGCGAGTCGGTGATTCGGGCGGGCATGGTACCATGGCGACGTCGACAACGGCAGCCACGATGATGATATTACCGAGGCTGGTGACGGTGAGGACGAAAACGACGCCACAGCCAATGACTTCGCCGATGATGATCATGCCGATGGCGATGATGTTGTCCACGTATGGCGATGAAGGTTTCGAAGGGATTTCGACATGCGCGCGTTGGCGCATGTTTTCTGTGACAGGGGTCGTGCCCCCCCCAGCACGCGCGCAATGGCCTTCGAACGGTTCCGACACTCGCGCGCGACAGGCCCGTGCCGTCGAAGTTGTGACATCGTTGAAAACTTATGATTCTTGCGCAATTTGTAAGACTGTGCACACAGACATGTTGTGAAGCACCTTGTTGCCATACTATCTGCGTTTTTCGTAAATGCTTTCGGGGCACTTGACTTGAACACCCTTAGGAGACTTAACATTACGAATGATTTTGTCATGCGCGCGCGACAACTCGCGGGTGTGCACGTCGTCGAAATTGTTGAAACGAAAGGCGCCTTGTGAACGGATGGCTTTGATGAGCCAGTGAACGCGCATCGTAGCCCTTGGCGAGGGCGATTGGGGAGGAACCCAGCCTGACTAGGACGGCACGCCGCCACATTTTGAATGAGCGATGGGGTGCACGTTCTCATTTCTTCGGGTCGGACCGATAATCCGGGGGGGGGGTGGTAGATCTTAGTTCACTTTTAAGAAGAAGAGTCAATGCGGAACAAATTATGTGGTGCAAGCTGCGTGGGTCGATCCATGTGGTGCAGTCGATGCGCTGCATATTTTTTTGTTTGTGCAAGCTGCGTGGCGCCATCCATGTGGTGCGGTCCTTGTTGCGGCGACGAGGCGGCCACGGGGCGTTGACGGCGAGCACGGGCGGCGACGAGGCGGCGACGGGGCGGCGACGGCGAGCACGGAACCGCCGAACCGCCACCCAGGCCCAGTTCCATAGAAGAGAAGTGAGACCCCTAAGTGCAAACACGGTTTTGGGAATACTTTTTCGCATTCGTTCGTGCCTTAGTTTGTTATATGTTGCATCGTTGTCGTTTGTTCTCGTATCGTTTTCGCCTTTCCAGGCCTCCTGGGAGGCCTTCGTCGCCACCGCTGGATTCGTCTCGAGATTTTGGTTAGAGCGGTCCCCAGGAGTGGTCTGGGGAAGCGCAGTGTATCGGTACCCTTCGGTGCCCGCAGGAAGAGAAGGAGGCAGCTGGGGGCGTCCATGTGGAGGCGGTCTTCTTCAGAGAGAGAGAGAGACCGCTTCCACATGGAAAGATCAAGAGAGAGAGTCATCCTCTGCGAGAGGGCCCCCGCGGCCACATCGTCCCCCATTTTGGGGCCATCAATTCGACCCGAGTCGTTCCGTTGACGGCCCGGCGCCCGAAAGTTGGCCCCCAGAAAGCCACAAGGGCGAACGACCGGCGTTCTTCATTTCTTCGAGCCGCCAGATCGCTGAGTCGTCGCCGTTCTCAAGCCGAAGGTCGATCTCAAGGTCGAAGGGCCGAGATCGAGGCAACACGCCGGGATCGAGAAAAAACACATCGTACATCGTCTGAGATGTTGGATTATGTAACCTCCATCCGGGCTGGGCTCGTTGCCACCTTCGCCGTCGTCGTCGATCTTCGGACACCCTGGAGGGCGTCCAAGAATGGGGGAGAACAAGGTGTATGTGTGTTTGTGCGTATGGGGGTATCACTGACGAGTTCACTTCACGGCTCTCCATGTTTCTTTGAACGCGCTTTTTGTTTTCATCTCGTCTGCGCGCTACATGCAACTTGCTAACGTCTCATCATTAACAGATCAGTATCCCACCGTTCTCAGCTGTGTGTTCTTAGCAGCAGCAATCGAAGTATCAGTATACTCACTTGGCTCCACATGTTACAGGTGTTGGTGCTTTGTTATTCTTAGCGCATGGGTATCCCCACCACCACATCCAGAAACGATGCCTAGAGGAGCTGCCTTAGTCACGGGAGCTTGGTGGCATCACCTGGATACTTTGGATCGACTCTTAGTTCTAGATGCCTCTCGGAGTCGCTTGGGATGTCCCTTGGGTGGCTCTTGGTGGCCTTTTAGGTGGTCCCCCTAGGCCCCCTTGGGGGGCTCTTGTGCGCCTCTTGGGACCTCGGGCCCTCGTTGACATTTTAGGAGCTTCGTGGGGGCCTCTTGGGACCATGTGGGAGGCTCTCGCTGCCCTCCCAGGAGGTCAAGGTTGTGCCACATCCGACAGCAAATCTATGAGGTGTGTCTTGCCGCGGAGGCTTTCTTGGACTCTCGAACTACAGGCAGAGCGCCAAGCCCAAACTCAGGAGAGGAGGTAGGGGGAGGGGTCGACCTACTATAGCCCGCAAGCCGTGTCGCTTTCCCCATGCGCCCCTCCACCACATCAGTAGCATCCGAGTCTCAGCACAGGCAGGGGCCGCCATCGACAACCATCGGGAACCACTGCAAACGCCAGCCAGGTGCGCGATGCCCCAGAGGTGCGCCGAACGTGCCAGGTGCGCCGCGCGCACAAGGTGCGCCACATTCGGCAACAGGTCGCCCGCCCCACCATCCCTGTCAGAAGCCCTGCGACGTGACTGCGGGTTTGACGCAGGTAGTAGGCTTGCGCACGGCAGGCAGTCTGCCGCCCCCCCGCCGTCCCTGGCAAAGCGAGCTTTTTGTTGAAACGGATGGTGGGCTTGCAGCACACAGCAGACAGAGCAGGCAATACAATGCCGTCCCCCCGCCGCTCCTGTTAAACACCTATGCCAAGCGAGACACGTCGGAGGCGTCTCCGCCAGTGGGGACCACCTCACACTTGCCCGGGCCGGTGCTCAGCTGGAGGCCCACCGCGGTAAGATTGGCCACGAGCAAGTGGAGGAGGCGCGCGACGGCCGGCGCGTCGCCCGCGAGGCAGCCCTCGTCCAAGTGGAAGAAATTCAGGTCGACGGCGTGATCGGCGCCGTGGCGCGGCGCGCGGAGGGCGGCCTCGGCGGCGCGCTGCAGCGCTATGGGGGCCCCAGGGGGTTCGCCCTGCTGCACCCCGCACTCGGAGCGGATTGTCCGCTTGCCCAGGAAGAGAGCTGACGGGCGGGAGTAGCACCAGTCAGCCCAAGGCGCCAGTCCGGGAAACTCTTCGTGGACCGCGCGGAGCAGAGCTTGCCAGTCCAGGGTGTTGAAGGCGCTAGACACGTCCAGCTCCACAAACACTTTCCCCCGGTCCCCGAGGTGGCGGGCCCGCCACTGGCGCGCGATGTGCGCCGCCGCCTCAGTGCAGCCAGGGACCGCGACGCCGATCTGGAGGGGAGCCAGTCAGTCGCGCGCGGCGTCGGCAACTTCGTGGCAGAAGCAGTTACCGACGAGGCGTTGGAGCACTTCCCCGACGGCAACAGGGCGCAGGCCTCCGTCCTTCTTCGGCAGGGCCACCAGAGAGGCGCCCGCGAAGTACTCGGACACGGCCAGCGGGGCCTGCCCCCTGGCGCAGAGGTTGACAAGGTTCCGGAGCTGGTAAGTGACCTCGTCCTTGTGGGCCGCGTTGGGCAGTGCGTCTTTGAGGCGTTGGGGTCGGAGGCCCGTTCGCCCGGCAGCCGAGCCCCAGGCCCGCGCCTACCTCTTGACCACGTCCCCGTCGACCTACAGGGCAGCAGCCGCGTGGGCAGCCGGAAAGCTGGCGGAGTCCGCTTGGCGGCTGCGCGG